TGACACAGATCAAGAGAGGGTCAGTATATCAGTTAGACCAAGAGGTTCTTTCCATTGAGCATCCACTATGTATAACTTGCTATCAAGATGCTGGTATTGACAGAATAGTTCTCACACTTTTTGATACTGAAAATGGTGGGTCTGGGGCTAGAGAGATGACTCAGTGGTTAAGAGCACTTACTGCTCTTCAAAGGGACCTTGATTCGGTTCCTAGCACCCACATGGCAGCTAACAACCATCCTTAGCTCCAGTTCAGGGGATCTGACACCCTCTTCTGGTCTTTGTGGGCACCAGATACATGCTTATATACATGCAGGCAAAATACTTGTCCATATAAAATCTTTTAAGAAAGGAAGGGAGGGAGGGAAGCTACAAAGTGAGACCATCTCAGAAAGAAAGAAGGGAGGGTGGGAGGGAGGAAGGAGGAGAAGGAGGAGGAGGAGGAGGAGGAGGAGAGAGAGAGAGAGAGAGAGAGAGAGAGAGAGAGAGAGAGAGATCCCAGTCAACAAGGAGAGAAGATCTGAGAAGCTAGAATCAGTGTTTCCCAAACTACAGGAAAGGGTGGAGAATAGGGACATTAAGCAGTTCTGCCTAAAGAGGTCAAGCTTTGGCTTTGGTACTTCCTAGCTGTAAAACTAGACATGTTATTTACCTTAAACCTCTTCTGTGAACTGATGGTAATAATAATAATAACTACCCTCAAGTTTGTTGTCATAGTCGATGAGCTAACACTATTTTTTTTTTTTTTTTTTTTCTTTTTTGGGCAGGGTCTCCCTGTAGCCCTAGCTGGCCTGGATTCACTATGGAGACCAGGCTGCCTTGAACTCACAGAGATCTGCCTGGCTCTGCCTCCCAAGTGCTGGGCTTAAAGTGTGTGCTACCACACCCAGCCTTAAGATAAGACTTTTATAACAGTGAATTCCGTGGTTCACAGTAAGCAGTCAACAAAAATCAGTTGTCACTATAAATCACATGCCGGAGAGTGAGCAGAAATGGGTGCTGGATATATAGGAAAGTGATTCTAGATTATGTCACCTAGTGACATGGACACTGTAACTGTCTTAATTTGTACAATTGCATTCATAATGTTCCCACAACAGCAGTATCACCTACTGCTACATTTCTTAGAACATACCTAATGTTGTTGATAAGCAGTAAGTGACTTTTTGGTTTATTGTTTGTTTAGTTTTTGAGATGGGGCCTCTTGTTACCTAGGCTGGCCTTGAATCCTCTCTCTGTAACTGAGACTGGATATGAATATCCTGATCCTCCTGCTTCCACTTCCTAAGTGCTAGGATTGCATGCATGTGCCACCACTCCTGGATTAATACATGTTTTTTTTTTCTTTTTTTTAGGGGGGTGGTTTGTTTGTTTCTGTTTGTTTGAGACAGGGTCTATCTGCAGCCCCTGTTGTATGTAGTCCAGGCTGACCTCCATCATGGAGCTCTGCGTGCCTCTCTGTCTCCTGAGTGCTGGGATTAAAGATGTATACCACCATGCTGGGATAATACATGATTTTTTACCTTGTCCATTGCTCTTCATCTGTCCCACCCCACCAGAGATTTCTTTCAGTATATGCAGACTCCATATTTTGATTTTGTTTTTAGTCCTGGTGTGACACAAAGCAACCCAGATTAAAAACATTGAGACAACTTCCAAAAGTGAAGTATCTAAAACTAGATTAAGTCCGTATGATAAAATACAGTGGAACCCTCAGAAGCACTCCCTTACAGGACAAGCATCAAGGTGTTTGCACAAATCAGCAGGCCTTTGTGTTTCCCCTGAGGAGCCTTCTCAAGCCCCTACCTATTGTTTCTCTGTTGGGTAGAGCCAACTGGAACTACACTAATTAGGCTAGAAACTAATTGCTGTCTCAAGTCTTCACTGGGGAATAATTTAGCCTCAGGAATTCCTCTGCAGCCTCTGACTCTGTGTTAATTTGACTGCCATTATGGCAAAAAGCAAAACAATTTGTGAAGAAAAGCCATTCTGAAATTTGGCATCTTAGTCGTCCACTATATCTGCTCTTCAGATTTCTTTCTAGTGTCTACCAACTTCCTTCACAAGAAAGCAGTATGCTTCTCTCAAGACACAGCTTCCATATTCCTCCCAATACTCTGTAAAAACACAAGACAGCTGACTGCTCCTTGGCTATTGTCAGAAATATTCAGAGGAGGATAAAATAGCTGCTTCAAATACTACCCTATTACTTCTCCGTACCCTGTATAGGAGAAGCCGTGTCTTCAGGGGGAAAAAAAAGATGATGCTCTTCACAGAGAAATAAAGACAGAGATGTCTATCCAAGGTCATGTTTTGGGATCCTAAAAAGCAACATTGATACAATCAAAATAGCATACTTCAAGGAAGGTTTGTTCCTAAAGAGGATGATGCAGGGGAATCACACAGGATACCAGAGCCAGTGACTGCCAATCAGTCACCACTGTTAGGCTGAGGGGACATGAGTGGTAAATGATACCTGTGATGGTTAATATTGTCAGCTTGACAAGATCTAGAATCACCTAGGAAAGAGTACTGTCTATTGGGTTTTATGTAGTTTAGGTTAATTGAGGTGGGAAAGTCCACCCTAAGCAGGGCAGGATCATTTGATGGACTGAATCAAAAAGGTAAACAAGCCGGCCGTGGTGGTGCATGCCTTTAATCCCAGCACTTAGGAGGCAGAGGCAGGTAGATCTCTGTGAGTTTGAGGCCAGCCTGGTCTCCATAGTGAATCCAGGACAGCTGGGGCTACAGGGAGAACTTGTCTCAAAAAGACCAAAAAAAAAGGTAAACAAGCTGAGTATCTGCATTCGTCACTCTGCTTCCTGACTGTGAGTGCAATGTGACCATCGGACTCCTGCCACCATAATGAACTGCACAGTCAAGCTGTGAGCAAAATAAGTATATACTTTCCCTCCCTCTGTCCTTCCCTCCATTCCTTCCAAATCAGGTATTTTGTCACCACAATAAAACAAATAACTAAAACAGTGTCAGAACCAAGAAGGATTCACTGGATAGAGTCAGTGCCATGAATAGAGCAGAGACCTATGCCAAGGGATATGGCTAAGTAAAAACGACCTCAAAGAACTTGAATAAATGTTTGTGGCCTCTACCCCTCTCCTGCTAGTCTCCCACAGCACCCCAATGGTAAACTTAGGAGGCCAGAGGGTCCAGAAGATCTGATGAAAACCATGCTGGTTACTCCCCGAGCCGAAGACAGGATGGAGGAGGTTTCTGGAGGGGTGAGTCATGCCATCAAGCACAGTTGTGCAAACAGTAGGAATGCCCACCAAAGAAAGGTAGCAATGCCTAGAAGAGCAGAAAAGTTGCCAGGATAGTAGGACATGGAGGTGGTGCTCTGTGTGCTGGTACCTAATGACCTGCAAAGGCATATTCAATGAGAAGGAGGTGCAGAACAATGTGCTGTGACTTATAAACCAACCCACCTAACAGCCTCACCTTAGGGTTCTAACAGAAAGTAAATGACACAAGTCTGTAGTGTAGTGCCTTAGTTAACTGATCCATTAACTAACCAATCTGGGTGGGTCTGAGTTTAGAAATGACTTTTAAGCTTCCTAAGTGATTTTTATATGTAGCTACATCTGGAAACCATTCATGTGCATTATGTAATACTACTTAGGCAAGAACCCACAGGTATAGTAATAAACAGGTATGTGTACATGCCTGAAATATTTGTGGGAAGATATGGAGGAATGAATCTGTGTGGTTATCTCACAAGAAAGTAGATGGGCAGAGAGCTTATGGTAGAAGCAGCACCGATTTGTCCTCTCACAGTATAAGAATTTATTTATTTATTTATAATTTTTTTAGAAAAAGCATTTCATTACAGCTTTAACATACTCAATAACAGTTTCTAGAACAAAGATACATCTCTTTCAAAATTTGTCAGTGTGCTGTTGAATTAATAGAGGTATTCAATATTGAACACAGTATAAGCCCTGTAAGACATAAAATTGAATGAGATGTGCCAACATCTCGGTGTTATTAGCAAAAACAATGAGTCTTTCTGTAAGAAACAGTATACTTTAAAATGAAATGGAAATCTTTTTTAAAGGTTAAAATAATTTATTTTTTATGTGTTGCCTTTTTATTAAAAATTTTAGTTAAGCTGGGCGTGGAGGCACACGCCTTTAATCCCAGCACTTGGGAGGCAGAGGCAGGTGGATCTTTGTGAGTTTGAGGCCAGCCTGGTCTACATAATGAGTTCCAGGACAGCTGGGGCTATAGGGAGACCCTGTCTCAAAAAGACAAAAAAAAATTTAGTTAAAAATAGATGTACTGGGGCTGGAGAGATGGCTCAGCGGTTAAGAGCACTGACTGCTCTTGCAGAGGACCCGGGTTCGATTCCCAGCATCCACATGGCAGCTACAAACCGTCCTTAACTCCAGCTCCAGGGGAATCCGAAGTCCTTTTCTGACCTCCGCGGCATTGCACGACACGGGCGCACTCACGTACATGCAGGCAATACACTCATACACATAAAATAAAAATAAAATAAAAACTAGATGTACTTAGTTTTGAAATCACCTTTCACTTGTTCTTCTAAAGTTGTGGAGTATATCTTTGTGAGAAAAAATACTTTTGTTTTAACTTTTAAAGTGTGTGTGTGTGTGTGTGTGTGTGTGTGTGTGTGTGTGTCCTCAATAACTAGAGGTTTAAGTTAGAAGTAGTTTCAAGAATAAGTCCTATACCTTGAACCTATACCTATACCTATAATACTCTGAGTGTTATACATGAATTTCAACCCATGAGTCATTTTTATCACAATCACTCCCCTACTCTTCCCTCTGCCTCATCCCAGATCCACCCCTACCATCATAGTCGTCCAACTTCATATCCTCTTTTTAAAAAAGAATGACCCATTGACTGCAATTTGTGCTGTCCATATACTCCCAGGTGTGGGGGGTCATCCACTGGAGTGTGGTCGACCGACCAGGAGTCACACCCTTAAAGAAGGTTAACTCTCCCTCTCCCAGAGGCCATTGGTTGTTCATAGCTCCTCAGTTAGGGGTGAGGGCTCGTGAACCCCTTCCCACTCCATGCTAGACTGTTGACTGGCTTGATCATGTGCAGGAAACCACAGCTGTTCTGAGTTCATGAGTGCAGCAGTCATGTCCAGAAGACTTTCACTTAAATCTTCCCCAGCCTCTTACAATATTTCCACCTCCTTTTCTGCAGTAGATCCTGAGCCTTTTGGGTGAGAGAGATAGAGATGTTCCATTTGTAACTGAGCACTCTTACTCTCTGTACTTGGGCAAGTTCTAAGCTTTTGTATTATAACCACTATCCAACTTCTCCCATGAGATCTGAGAGCAGCACTGTCTATGAGCAGAGAGATAGAAATTAGAGAGCAGTTTGATACTGTGTCCATTTACCAAAATAATATAGTAGGTTCAGACCTAGGGCCTGTGAGATCCCCAACCAGGGGTTCTCAGCCAGGTTTATAGTACCAGGCACAGGTTTCTTCCTTTAGAGCAGGTCTTAAATTTAATTAGAAGACAGTCAGTTACCCCCCCCCCTAAACATTCATGCCACTATTAGACTCAGAGACCAATAATTATTGTAGTTCACAAAATTCACAGCTGGGTATGACTATTATTGGTGACCTTCTCCCCCCACCCCCCCAGCAGCCTGCAATAGCACCTTCCAGTACTATGAAAGCTAGCTAGCAGGAAGGAAGATTCCTGGTCAGTACCATTTTGGTTTCTCCATGTTCTGTGATCAACCTGTGTGGTGTCTTCAACAATAGGGTCTCACCACCATTGACTCATTCTTCTAGTGGCCTTGTGGCTCCTCTCTTGTCTTGTCCAGGGCTCCATCCAGGTCAGGTTAGTAAGCAGTGTTTCAGCACAGCAGAGGAAATCTGTTATGGAGAAAATTGAGAGCTCTCTCAGGCAGCTAAGTGGAATGGATGCAGTTAGACTGCTACTTCTACACTATTTCAGACATCACACTAAAATTGGGAGCCCTAACTTAGAAAAGCAAAAAGCAAATTTTAGCACCAAGCAGCCACTCATGAAGTACCTCACAAGACCCAGCTAGCATTGCCAGATTTCAGTAGTTCAATTATCTTGAGCTACAGATAATTCTTTCACCTGATAGGTTGTTCCCCATCTGCTAGCTACCCAATTTCCTTTAAAAGCTCCATTTTAAATCAGAATATATAATGGAAAAGCTTTCATGCCTCACCTTTATGGAGATACTCTGGAGTTACTCAAAATAATCAGTAGCCCAGCCTTGGAAGACAAAAGAAAAATGAGGAAGAACCCAGTAGAGGGATGCTTTTGGAAGCTCTAGTCAAGAAACTCCAGTGGACTCTCACATGAACATTTGAAAATTGCCCTGTTCTGTCTTTTTTCTAGTTCCGTCTAAAACTTGTAATGCTAATTACTCTTGCCTTTACTTCTCCTTCACATCTCCTATTCATGAGTCAAGGACTTTCTTCTCCCCTTAGAGATAAGAGTTATGCAATTTGGGAGTCTTTCAGATAGACCCACTGAAGGGGTACTCCAGTTGCCTCACCCTTAGTCCCTGTTCAGCATGGAAGAAGCCAGAGTGGTGTGCGTCCCTATTCCCTATTGGCAGTTGGGGTAACTGCTTCAGAGGATGGCGTGATAAGAATAGGAGGTAGGAATTGGCTAGGCAGTTAGAGTAAAAAGACCCCAAAGAAATATAGCCAGTTTCTGGGCTAAAAGTCAAAATGTCCTTGGGCCTGTTAGCAACAAACTCTGTTCCAAAGGTAAAAAATGTCAAAAGTATTTGGGAGCTTGTATTTAATCCTTAAAATATTTTAGGGTTACCTCTTCAGAGGGGGGAATGTTGTAGGGGAGGGAGTGGGCATGGATTTGATCAAAACATCTTATACGCATGTATGAAATTCTCAATAAAGTTTTTTGTAAAAGTTAAAAAATAATAATAATCAGTAGTTGCCCTGGTAACCTTAGACATACTGTTTAAACCACTTGTTTTCATCAGCATCTCCTGCTTTCAAAATAGTGAATTCATATGCCTTGTAGTAACAAAAAGGGGAGATTTTAGTACTTTAAAAAATCTTTTCAGCTTTTCTTGTAAGAATGGAGGTGATAATTGTTAGAGTTCCAAACAGCAGCAGTTTCCCCCCTCCCCAACAGGGACCTCATCTTGACCTTTGAAGTCAAGGGAAACAAACTGCTGAGAAGCACCCTGCCTCTCCTCTGATCTCCAAAGATAAGATAAGCAGATTCTACCTGTTAACCAGAGATTTTTGAAGTTGTTTATCACAACAGCTTTTCTCTTATCTTAAGAGGGAAAAAGTAAACACTTCCAGACCCTAATCCTACCTGCTTTTCCTGCTTCCCCCTCCCTGATTTCTCCCCCAAACATTCCCCCCTTCTACACCCTAAAGCCCCCATATATAAGTCCCAGCTCACAACCCATGGGCTGACATCTTTCCCTTCCCAGAGGGAAGCGAGCGTCTGAAATAAAGCTGTATCCTGCTGAGAATTCTATCTGTGCCTTGGTGCCTCCTCCATCCGCCCGCTCTCTCCAACATTTTTACCTATCAATAATGTTTGTGGTTACTTACTAAGTGGTGTTCATTTTGTTTTTTCATGACTAAGGCACTGAAATAAAATGACAATCACCCTAGGTTTTGAACAAATTGGAAAGCCCTGTTAAATCTGTTTTGTTCAGCATTGAACTCACAACCTGAGATTTGAGTAGGTGGAACTTGAAGGCTAGAATAAAGGATAGCAATGCCAGGGATGGAATGCAGGATAAACTTGGCAAGTCTGTCCTCATATCAGATCACTGACGAGAATAATTAAAGACCACTAACGCTTGTACTCCAGACTGAAGGATATGGCTTGAAAGTTGGCAAGTCCAAATCTAAAGCAGGAGAGAGATATTTTCAAATGAGCTGGCAGGCTTCCACTCTATCTCCGGGGAAGTCTGTGTTCTCCTGCAACATCCAAACACTGGGCCTCATGGTGCAGACCTCCTCATGTGAGCTCCATGTGACTCTGCTTCCTCCAGTGGAGAAACAGTCCCTCCACCCCAATCACACACATACTCTTTCCCAGTCTTCTTTTGACCCTTTGTGTGAAACAGTCACTGTCATCCAGTGGCAGCACTCACAATGTCTGATTGTCACAGTGAAAATGAACTGGCAGGAGAGTCGTGGGAATTCTGGACACACCCAGTAGAGACAAGATCCACATATTGGTGACATACATGGTCAATGTAATCATCACAGACAGCAGTTAGAACCCATACTGTCCCCAGGGAAATCTATAGGCATTTAATTACACACACACACACACACACACACACACACACACACACACACTAGTTGCCTTATCCATACTGTCCTCAGAGACTTTACAGGCTTTTAATTACTACCATGCACACAGACAGACAGAGAGACACACACACACACACACACACACATACCAGTTGCACTTGTTTCCTCTCTATGTTTAGCTTTCTATAGAATATATACTTTTTTCATCTCACTTTTCTCAGTGGAGGAAAGAACCACCAGTTGAGTATTTGCTGGTGTAGTCTTACTGCACTCTGGAGCACTCACTAATTCTGAATCTGCCAGATCTGCCAGTCCCCTCCCAATAGATTAATAAAAACTTACATTGCTGAGGTCACTGTTCCAGCCTCTGTGAAAGGAACTTTGCTCCAATCTCTTACTGCCTAGATGTTAACACATATGGCACAGCACTGCTGCCGGTGCAAGATGGATTTTAAGTAGAATGAGTAGCCTCATCATCTACATAGATATTTTATGTTGAATGAAATATCTTTGCAACTGTGCAACATGCGTACAGCGTTTTCAGGCATCTCCCCTTGTGTCTTCTCCATCTGCTTTTCAATTTATACTTTTCTTGTCTGCCTTGATCCAGCCGAGTGAAGAGTTCTAGTTTATGACCCAGCCTTCTTTAGGCTGTTCCGCAAGAGTCTTCCCACCTCTTACATCTTATTTATCAGTTGTCCAGCACTGGACTTAGGAAAAAAATCAGCATTAGATTTCTAATGGTTCCAATACTTTTTAGATGCCCCAAAACTTAAAAAATTGCATTATATGAATGATGTGGAGAGAAAGAAAATGCCAATAAGAATGGAAAGCTGGAGATAGTCATTTGAATATGCTGCATATTTAAAGTGCCCCCCCCCATTTCGTTAGCATTTACACACTTGTAATGTTTTTTTCTTCAATAGTAGTTTAGTAGTTCTTGTAGTAGCAAAAATCTGTAATTGCTTCCTATATTAAGCCTTATAACAAATATCTTGTTAAATCAAAATTTAATTTATACTTGTGGTATTATTTTCTGATTTTATATGAAAAAGGAAAGATTTGCGAGTTAGTATCTCTTTAAACCCTGAATTGGTGCAGCAAAGAAAAAATTTAAGTAAGGAGACACTATGCCATTAAATAGGAACTTTGCCTGTAAATTTTCATTCAGTACCCAAATTTCTATATGAGGCTAAGGGCTCGTTCTTCTAGTTTTTGTCTATAAGGAAATCTCAATTAAATTTCTTTTTCTTCACAAGCCAGTTACTAAGTTCTGTCTTGAGTTTCAGTATGAATCCATTCAATCCTGTGCCCACAGCAGGTACTCTGGTCCAGCATTACAATGAAACAAACTTTCCTTGCTCTATTTTTCTTTGCATACCTGGCTGAGTTTTCCAGGCTCTTCTTCTACTTCAGGAAACACCAGCTCATGGAGCTTCTTCTTTTCAGCTGTATACCAAGTCCAGGGACAGCACAAAGAAAGGCTTAATAAAACCAGCATTGAGTTGGTCCTTTAGACACAGTCAGCTCTGAACCAGAGCAGAGACTTGCTTAGCCGTGACCTGAATGCTCCCGTTGAAAGTGTGAGCCAGCTTTCCACCTTATGCCTTGTTTTTTTGGTTCACCTTATACAAGCAAGTTCATAGTATAACCACCAAATTTGGCATCCTTTTATGAAGGATTAGATCTCTGTGTGCTGAAATATTCAGAGAAACCTAAGACCCTCATCTAGAGTCTGAATATGTAATCAGTGCTTTGGCCCCCGGACAGGGGAACAGTGTGATTTTAAGCAGACTTCTATTTGTATGCAGCACAGCCTTATGCTTAGCTTTGCTCTGGATTCATGCAGAAATACAGCAGTTTGAGGTAAATAAGAAAAAGAAGCCTGCTCAGTTAAGCTGACCTGTGTACTTTGATACCTAAGAAGACATCCCCATTCCCCTGCAAGGATCGCTTTCCTGTGCCTCACTGGCCTGGCTCCACATCGCAACTCAGAGACTAGATATGTCCCTGCAAAGATGGGGTATAACCAGGACCCCCAAGGGCCATCCTCTGGTGTTGCCCAACAGAGTATATGGGTTGAGATATTTGGTGGCACAGTAGAGAAGAGAGAGATGGATTCAGGTATTAATCTGTTGGGGAGGAACTTTAGGGGAACAAAAATACCTAAAAGAGGGCTTTATGGGATTTCATAGGTATGGAAGGTAAATTCACTTCCATGTCATCTCGTAAAGTCATTGGTAAAAATTGATTACTTGAGGGTAAGGAAATAGCAGAGTATTTGTCACACAAACCTGAGGAGGACCTGAGTTCAGTACCCAGCACCTACATAAAAACCTGGACTCAGTAGCACATGCTTGTAATTACAGCACTGGGAAGGCTAGACAGAGACAGGTGAATGACTAGGGTTTGTGCCTTCACATGGACTACATGTATGCATGAAGGACAGAGGACAGCCTTGGATGTCAATCCTCAGATACCTCTTCCATCTTACCAGGCTAGGTAGCCTGTGAGCAACCTAAAGATCTGCCCATCTTTGCCTCCCGTCTTGCCATTACTGGGATTACAGGCACACACATGGCTTTTTACATGGGATATTTTGTTTCAAACTCAGGACCTCACACTTAGAAGGTAAGCACTTTACTGACCGAGCCATTGCCTCAGCCCAATTTTTAATTTTTTGAGCCAGGGTCTTGCTATATAACCTTAGCTGGTCCACTTACTGTATGGATCAGACTGGCCTTGAATTTGTGGCATTCCCAAGTACTGAAGTTGTAGGACTATGTGCCATATACTCCTCTTTTCTCTTTCCTTATTCTAGTTCAAGGCATCTTCTGTTATCCCTCCATCCCTCCCTCCGTCCCTCTTCCTTCCTTCCTTCCTTCCTTCCTTCCTTCCTTCCATTTTTAAAAGTTTTATGGTGCTGGAGGTCAAACCTAGACCCTGGCATAGCCTAAGCTAAGTGCTCTACCACTGAGCTATATCCCTAGGCTAGACTTAACTTTTTTTTCCTTATAGTCATTCATTAGACTTCATGGAATATCTTCATATGTATACACATTACAAACACACCTCATTTTACTGTGCTTCATTTTATTGAGCCTTACAAATAGTGCGATTTTTTTATTTTATTTTATTTTTTAGAAATTTAGGGTTTGTGACAGCCTTGCTCACAAGTCTATCAGCACCATTTTCTAGCAGCTCAAATAATTATTAGCTTTTTTCTTTTGAGCAGTGAAGTATGTTTGAACTAAGATGTGTGTTATTTTATGCATAATGCTGTTATATACTTAATAGGCTTCAGTGTAGTATAAACAGAGACCTTTTGGGGGGGGGGTTCTTTTTGAGACAGGGTCTCCCTGCAGCACCAGCTGGCCTGGAACTCACTATGTAGGCCAGGCTGGCCTTGAACTCACAGAGATCCACCTGCCTCTGCCTCCCGAGTGCTGGGATTAAAGGCGTGTGCCACCACACCCAGCTTAAACACAGATTTTAGATGTGCTGGGAAGCCAAAACTTCCCTGTGACTTGCCTTACTGCAATATTCCCATTGTTGTAGTAGCCACAAAACCCACTGTATATTAGCTAACTTTCCTTGTAGCGACAAAATACCTGACAAGAAGCAATTTAAGGTAGGAAGGGTTTGTTTTCAGCTTATAAAATCCACCATGGAGAGAAAATCATGGTGGCAGGAACATGAGGCAGCTGGTCGCATTACAGCCACAGTTAGAAAGGAGAGCAAGATGAATGCTAGTACTCAATCAGTTTTCTTCTTTCTGTGCAGTCCAAGGCCCCATGGAATGGTGCCACCCACAGTTAACGTGGGCCTTCCTCTGTTAACCTAATCTAGACAATCAGACATACCCTGAGGCTGCATCTGAAGTGATTCTAGATACTGCCAGGTTGACAGTATTAACCACCACGTACACTATTATTTGTACTTATCTATTAAAGATGAGTTACATGGAGAGCATACTCTTAATGTTGATGGATAAAAAGTATAAAACAACTGTAAAAACAAAATGGAAAGTTTTAGATGCAGACAGGAGAGATGACTGAGCTAGAATTGTCAAGGAAGGCTTTGTGATCCAGTTTGCAGTCAAACTTGCATTTGAAAGATGGGTTGGATTTAGAAGTGGAAAGATGATGAAAAGTTCAGAGACAGAAACACAAGTTCAGAGACAGAAACACATGGGCACACACAGAGAGCTGCTCACCCCTAAGGAGGAACATGTGCTTTTCATCTATAGTATTCCAGTTGTTTGTTTCTTGTTCATTTCTGAGTCAAAATGATCTTTACCTCTTTAGGCACTAAAGCTGAGGGAGCCTGCTAATGCTGTCTTCCCATCCCAGGATTTCATGCTAGCTGAATCCTCATGGACCATCTTCTACCAATTTATCTTCTGTAACTGACTTGCCTGAGACGTTCTCTATTTTCATCACAGTTTTGCTTCACATAGGCCTCACCATCTGGAACTTCTTTATTTTTTTTCAACCCATATTTTCTCCCACAAAAGGCCTGTTTCCATTTCTAAGTATCACCCAAGGTCCTATGACACTCTCCTTCATCCTCCCTGCTTTGAGTTTCACTATAAAAAGCCAACCAAGTAGGTTTGAAAAGAAATTGTATTCCTCTTTTCTCTGTTACAACCTCAAACCAAACACATCAGAGTGGTTCTGACACCTGCAGCTTTCAACAAGGGCTGCTTTCCTTGGAGTTGGCCTCTATTTCTAGGGACCATCTCTGAGCCTTGAGAGCTCAGTACAGCTCTGATACAATGGGGACAGGGCAGGTTCATTGTGGGGTTGCTAAGGAGAGAATATAAATAGCCATCACCATAGCCTTACAGAAAGTCTTGCTTATTTTTGCTCCTTAGACAGAGTGGCTATGTTTAGCCTTCAGTTACTGTCTAAACCTGCAGAAGCCCACACGGGCTTTATTTTCATTTCGATTTTTAACACCCATTCTCTTTCTCAAACTGTAACTGAACTGTGGAAAGAGCATTCCAGACATTCAGCTGTAGTTGACACAGTCACAAAGTGCAGTGTACTACTGAAGCCACCACCTAGACCTATACTTCAGCTATGTTTGCTTTCTTTCTCTCTAAGACCTTCCTGGGTCCTAAAAGCCTGGATATTCCTCAGCAGTTTCTAGAAACTGTACAGTAATATAAACTTCCCTAATGTGGCATCTTTTAAATGTACAAACAAATATTATACTCAAGACCTTTTATATTAGCTTAGAGAAACTTACCAATCATGATTTCTAGTTTATAATATCCTTAATTCAACTAACTTAGACTAAAATGGAGTCCACTTCTTCACAGATGTACTAGAGAAGCACAGTAAAGTCTGCATTCAGACATGGCTGGATTCAGGAGCTCATGTTACCTTTGGAACCTAGCTCTTGCCACCTTGCTCAGCTTTCCTCTAGGTTTACTCTTAAATTCTTTCCTCTTGATTGCAAGATGATCACTACCAGCTAAACATCTGCAGATGTCTAAGACCAAGAGAAATGATAAAGACACTCTTTCCAAGTTTTGAATAATCATGTGGGCCTAATTGCTATATCCTACCCCCATCTCTTAGCCAGTGTCTGGGAAGGAGTGTGAGGCTCTTTTGGGCTAGGTTTGAGTCACCTGTTCATCCTTGACTGAGCAGGAAGGAGAATGTTGGCATGCAAAGCATATGGCCTGTGAGAATGGGGACAGGCTGGTCTTAGAGGAGAGCCCCAGACCACAGAAGGCTCTTTGCACATTCACTTGGTGAAGTACTTGTTGACTTTACAGTTGGGTACAAATCTGTACTACCCTTCCCCCATCCCTACATAGTCCCTTAATGTGTTTTCTGAAAATGTCCCTTTTTTTGGAGTCCAGATGGTTGTTGCATGATTTATTTCTAGTTTACTACCTGGTGCCTTCAAGAATACGTTTTATAGTTTTAAAAATTAAGACAGTGTCTGGGGCTGGAGAGATGGCTCAGCAGTTAAGAGCACTGACTGCTCTTGCAGAGGACCTGGGTTCGATTCCTAGCACCCACATGGCAGCTACAAACCATCCTTAACTCCAGTTCCAGGGGAATCTGAAACCCTCTTCTGACCTCTGCGGCGTTGCACGACACGGGTGCACTCACAGTGCATGCAGGCAATACACTCACACACATAAAATAAAATAAAAATAATAAATAAAAATTAAAGAAAAAAATTAAGACAGTATCATCTTCTTGGCCTTGGACTCAGTTGATTCATTTAAAAAACATATTTCTGGGAAAAGGCTTTCATTATCAGTGCCCATCACAGACCATTGGAAAACACATGGTAAATATGGTGTGCCGAGGCTGGCCACCATTAGTTTTAATGACAGTGTTGTCATCTTAGAATTTGATTAACAGAGGGAAAAAAATATGAAAAGGACTGGTCCTTCTCTCAGTGAGAGCAGAGAACGTGGAACAACAGTGTCTCTTCAGGCTCAGCAGCTCTGGGAACTCCTGAGATGCAAACAGGTCGGGTAGTGACTTCTTCTGGTGGCCTG